ATATAGAAAATTTTTGTTATTTCAGTTTATGGATATTGGAAAGTTGTTTTCTGCAGAAATAAAGTTTTGATCAATTCACACTCTATTCTTGTTATAGTTTGATCTCATTAAGGTTTAAGGAGGACCAGTTGGAAATAGGCATGTTAAGATCACATTACATGAAATTACCATGCCACACATCCACATCATAATATGTGCCATTTATTTGTATCAACATATGTGACCATTGAAGGGTCGAGTTACGATAGTTATAACAAAGGCCGCTTTGATCCTATGTTGATATGATTATTGGACCGGATTGGTTATAGATACACAACAGTCATGACAGAAAGTTGAGCTCATACAGTTATTTTGGCAAAGCATAATTATAAGGTATTACACATAGCCCAAGTGGGAGATTGTTGGATCCTTAATCCAACATTGGGCTTATATGTAAAATAATTATGTGTTGCAGACTGTCATGTGAACTTAAGCCAATTAAAAGTGATCTAGTAAGGTAATTAGGTTTTAATGTATCTGATAGGGTGTGGGCCTTTAATGTGTAGAGACTCTAGGGTAATTTCTATTTTTATGATGGGCTAAAATAGAAATACCAAAAAGAAGGGATAACATAGTAGTTATCTATAAAAAGCGGTTATGGTCCCCAGATCACAATATCACAGAATACATAACGTATTCTTTCTCTGGCATCCATCACTTGAGAAAGAGAGATCCCAGAGAAATAATAAAGGACTCTCTAGGAGAATGCGTAGATCTGGAAGGCCGTCCGCACGACTCTACATATCAATCCCGCTATGGATTCAGGTACACTTCCGCTAATAAATCTTACAATTCTTAATGGTTCAGCATGTACGATCTATTTAGGTTGTGATGATGTACAACATAATTAGGTTTTCTGTTTCTTACAAAGGGTTCTTAGTAATTAACTAAGCATCAAACTGTTGGTAAATTTTCTAAATGCCAAAAAAATGCTTAGAATTTAAGAACATAATGATAATTATTACAATTCATTACATCGTATCACATGTCTTTGTGATTGATTTACCACTTCTTGTGGCATCGAGCGCTCAATTAGTACGATTCATTGCATCATATTACATGGCTCTCCTCTGGACAGCCTGGATGAAAAATTTGACTGGGAGATGTGGAGTGGTTCAGGTAATTGCTGCATGTTCGGCAGGATGTTCATACTTTCTTGTTGCTATATTCAAAATCTGATTGTGTCAATTAAATTCTAAACTTGTTTTTTTTGCCAATTGAGTTCTAAACTTTTTGTTTTTGTGCCAATTCGGTTATAAACATTTGTTTTTTCCAATTGAGTCATAAACCTGTTATATTTGTGTCAGTTCAGTCCTTTCGGCCAATCGGCCAATTTTGGCTGGTCGGCTCTAACGTGGACAATTTTTAATGATATTATTAAAAAAAGAGAGGTAAAAATAAAGATAAAAATAAAAATAAATTCGAAAATTATTGAATTATTATTAAAAAATGCCAACGTAAGCGCCGGCCGTGCCACGTAGGTCAGTTGGCGTCCACGTCAGTATATCTGACCAAAATTAGCCGGAATGACTGAATTGGCTTTAAGTTAAAAGATTTAGGACCAAATTGACATAATTAAAAGGTTTATGATTAAATTGACACAAATGCAGTAAGTTTAGAACTTTTCTAACACTCTCCCAAGAAAGAGTATACTTAAATGTCTCACTTCGCTTGTTTATGGGATTTATATATTGTCTCCCTCCACATTGCTAAATTTTTGGGTTGAACTTTTTTACATGATATCAGAGTTATATTCTATCTCATCCCATGTGCAGCGCCCTCCATTCGTCCAATCCACGCATCATTCTCAATCCATTTTGCACGTGAGATGGATGTTAAATTTTTTCACGTCACTTATTTACAGCATTTGCATACTACTTATATACATGTCGTTTCCCTTCACCTACCACTTTAAGTTTTTGGGTTGAATTTTTTAACAATAAGTACCTCATTTGTGTTGTCCCATGACAACGAACCAGAGCAGACATGCACTTAATCCAATGTGACCGAATCACTTCTTTTTGACTAGCACCAATATGAACAAAAAACAACTCGCATTCAATATTCTATTTCATGTTCATTAATATGAAAAATAATAGAAGATTGCGAATTCAACTGTACAATCTCTACAGCAAAAGTTAGACTTTGGTCATAGACTGTGAGGTTTATTATAATACGAGGGGCGGCAATCTAGATCTTCCGATCTAACTATTAAGACATAAAAAATATCCGTCTAGATACTTTTTTTTTTCGGAGTAATTGACTATATAGAACGGAAAATAATGCAAGACAAAAAGAAGAAATGGAAATGATTTTGAGAAAATATATAGGAGATGTCGCTTTCTGTCACTTTTCACGTTGTTTAGATTAAGGATGATCGGTTCCCGGTCCGGTCCGGTCCGGTCCAACCCAAGAACCGGGAACCGGACGAGGAGGACCGGTTCCCAGTTTCTAGGACCGGGGACCGGACTGGCTAGTCTTAGGACTGTGGACTAATTCCAATGGGACCAATCACTTATTGGTAAAGGCGAGAGGGAATTGGGAAAATTAGATTAGGTTTTCTATTTTTTTCAAAAATTTTAGAAAGTAAATAAATATATATTTAAAAAATTAGAAAAATATATATATTTATCGGTCCGGTTCCCACCCTAGAACTGAGAACCGGACCGCCTGGAAACCGGTTCCACTTTTAGGAATCGAGAACCGGACCGATATTTCCAAGAACCGGACCAAATCGATCGGTCCGGTCTGGTCCGGTCCGATCCCGGTTCGGGCGATCCATCTTGCTCACCCCTAGTTTAGATGACGAAACCAAGTTGAGGCCCTTAGTCAACTTTCTTAATTGTTCATACATGTAGTCCGGTTACGAAGCACCATCGAGGAAGGAGGAATAATAATAACGAGTACAATAGAGTGCAAGTTTTAACTCATGAGAGAAGCATTTTTCGATTCTCGGCAAATCTCCTTGCCTCGAGAATTAGACATATCTTTTTCAAATTTGAATTTGTTTGTTTAAAATCTGGGTTCTTTTACTTTTTTTTTATTTTTCTCTCTCTTATTTATTTATTTATTTTATTCCATTCCATGATTCCTTAAATTAAGTCCAATAGGTTTTATCATGTAGAATCTGACCCATTTTCTAATTGAGCGTGTTAGAATAGCCTTGCATGGGATAATTGTTGGATGTGGAGTCGGTCCAACTGAATATGTTAACTGAGCTTACAGGTATCAAGCTTACTCTTATTTTTGTTCAGAGCATGCGGCAAAAGTCCAATAGCTTTAATCGTCAAGAGGGAGTCCAAATTCGAGTCCATCAATATTTCCAGTTGGACTTGCTTTCAGTCAATCCTTGGATCATAATTTCTAGTCCACCTAGCACATCCATCTCTTTTAGTGTGCATTCTATTCATAATCACGATTCTAATATCCTCTAGAATGCTCATAATGGCCTTGCACCTAGCTTCCACGCACCTCCCGTTGAAAGCTTCACTTAGATTATTATCAATAACATCACATTTAATGTTAGTATCAAAGAAGGCTTTGTACCAGTGTTTTGACTCAGTACGGAATAGATCGTCATGACCTTGGTGAGTCATTTCCTTCAACCTCTGTCTATGAACCTCAAAATCTGACATATTAGTACTCTTAGCACATTTCCAAAATTGTCTCGTCAACTGCTTTCCTTTGTATTTTTTTCCCCAATTGGAATATATGTGCCTTGCATACATCCTATGTTCTGCATTTGGCAAAAGTTCAGCTACGGAAGGAATGAGACCCTGACAAATATAAAAACAAAAACAAAAGCAAAAGTAAAACATTAATATTGATAAGCGTTGCATACAATGTTGCAATCAATTTCCAAATGAGTCATAAAGAAGCATTGCATACCTTTTGTTAGTCATTTATCAAAGCCCAATCGTTGCCATTACACATATCAAGGTCTGATTTCAACAATTCGATAAATCAAGTCCTCGTGTCCTTATTTTCGATTCTTACCACTGCCCATGCCACTGGAACATTTGGTTGTTGGGATCCCTCTCTACAGTACACAATAACTCACCCTTGATCAAATGCCTCAAGAAACATCCATCCAATCCAATGATCTTCCTACATCCAGCCAAAAAACCTTTTCTACAGGCATCAAAGCAAATGTAAGCCCTATCAAATAATGGTAGAGAATCTGGCAATGACCTTTCAACTTTTATCTTAAAATTGTTTGCGTGGCTTTCAGTGTAAACTCCCACAAGTAGTCATATATCTGTGCATACTCTTTCTTATAATTGCCTTACAGTTCCTTTAATACTTTTAGGTTTGTTCTTCTACACTGACTCAAAGTAACATTTACTCCCAGCTATTCTCTAACTAATTTCTTCAACTTAGGTGCATTTATTTTAGGCATTGCAGAAATGAGAATCATGAAGTGTTTAGCTAAGTAAGCACTAGACACTCTCTTATTCTCGAAAGTGACACTGCATATATGCTCATCTATATACTTTTTCCAATGAAATGACCCAGTCTTGCTATCAAGAGCACCATAAATCATCCAATTACAATTTGTCTAGGCACACCTAGCTCTTACAAATCTAGTTGTGTTCTTGGTATATTTGATTGCTCTTTACTCAACCACAGAGTACCTCAAAATTTCATCTTTGAATTCAGTTGCATCCCCGAATGTCATGCCGACAAAAAATACCGCATTTGTACCATTTTGTTCATATGATGGGAACCTACTTCTCCTCCTTGAAATAGCAACATCAACCTCCTCGTCGCCCTTATCATTCAAACCTGATTGAAGACTTTCTTCCTTATCTGAATAACGGTACTCTGTTTCGTACCCAGAAGCATCTACCGATCGAGCCTCATCCATAATCAGTGTTTGGGAAGTGCCAGTTGCCTCACTATAAGCGCCACTTTTTACCCTATGTCTCGCTGAAAATTCCTTTAATTTTCTCCCTTGCATCAGCCAGTTCAAAATCATCACCGTCACTCAATTGTTCCACATCCACCAAATTACATGCATCATCATCCTCCCCCTCATCTAGATCCCTATTAGCAACCTCAAGCTAATTCTCGTCATCATCAATATTCCCAATCACATTATACAGACCTCCAATTTCCATTTCAGTTTTCGTCTCTTCATCATCAACATGCTCAACATATAGGTCAATATTTTCAAAACGCAGATGATGATAAAATAGATCTATCACATCAGAGTTATCCCATAAATACCTAAAAGTTAGCCCGTCTTTAAGAGTTGTACTTCCAGGAACTCTGTAAAAGAGTTTCTCTATTTCACGCACACTCAAAGCCTCAATAGCTTCAATTATATTGGACAATGAACCATTATTTAAGCCTATTTCGATAACATCAACCCTTCCACCTACGTATTCCAATGGCGATCCAACTTGAAACTTACCTCCAAAGAAAACAGTGACATAAACTTTGTTCTCGGCCATTAGACCTACAAGGGGACAAAAATAAAGAGTAAACTTGCCTGAGCAGAAGAAAAATATTGATGATTTAACCGCACAAATAAATATTCTAAGAGAGAAAAGAGCATAAAAACAAATGAGAAAACAAACTCCATTGTACTATAGAGTTAACACTACAATGTACATGATGATGGCTCATTTATGAAGGTCATACTTCAACTGTTGATTAAAAATTTGCTTGCTTGGTTGCAACATGTTCCAGACAATGAACTACTTTAGCACAATCTTTCTCGAAATGGTTGATGCTTGGCATCATATGGCAATTGAGAAGAAATTCTAGGAAACGATAACAAATTCGAAAATTTCATATATAACCAGGAAGAATCTGACAGGCAGTATACACCACAAAAAGTGAATCAAAATTTCTCAATCTTTCGGCACACAAAATTTCCACCATATATGTGGTAAAGCAACTCACTAATAAGGACCAGAAGAGAAACATTTAGAGCTAATATCACGAGTCCAGGCTCAGCTCCACATAAACCAATCAAGAACCGAAGACACGAACCATTTCTCACGTGGTCGCGAATTAAAATTAGGAACCTAAGCAACTACCCTACCCTACCTCATTGCAAATCGCAACACAAATCGAATCGGTCCGAACACACAGATCTTGACCGAACTAGAATAGAAACACACGCCGCTCGATACCTAAATGCTATAATGCAGAGAGCGATACCGACCTGCACAAGGAGGAGTCCCCGTCGCCGTCGCCGTCTCCATCGTCGAAGTCGCTCGATCCGTCGTCGAGACTCTCGTAGGACAGGTCTTCACACGAACTCGCGATCAACGAAGAAGAGAACTCGAACTCTACGAACTCCAGATCGCGATTAAACTCCAGATAACAATGGGCATCGAACTCCAACTCTCGAGGAGATCCAAAACGCAAGGGAACTCGAGATCATCAAACTCGATTTGGGGCTTAGGGTTCAAAGGGAGACTGAGTGTTAATTTCATTTAGAGGGAGAGAAAGACGACGATGACTCTGGGCATAGGGTTCAGACGACTTTAATTCGGAAGAAGAAGAAGAGATGTTCCAGCAGAGGTTGAATCGGAGCATACTGTTCAGATAAGGAATAAGGAAGGAGACGACGCTAAGGGGAAAGGAAAGAGAGACGTTCAAGAAGAAAGAGGGACGTCCATAAACGATGTTGTTTTGCATACTTGGATATTTTTGCTTAAACCATTTTTCACGTAGGAGAGAGAAATGATTAATAAGCGCCACGTCAGCGTTTTCCGTCAGTAAATTTAACGGTGTTAACTTTAGGACTCGATTGAACCAATTTAACAAGTTTTAGGATTCGATTGCACTTTTTGCAAGTTTTAGGACTCAAATGCACTTTTGTGACAAGTTTAAGGTTGTAGTGCACTTGTCCCTTCATGTTATATGTTGGAGTCACGTCTATTTGCGTGACATGAGTTCCGAGGTAATTGCCGTACCAATTCTTACGTTGCAGCGTATTTGTACACTTTTTACGTACTATTTCATGCACACGAAAATCGTGCGATCGCACTTCCTACTCTAGGAAAAGTACTTTGCCTTATGCAGACCACATGTGATCGCGTGAGCCTACTAATACAAATTATGATAGATTTTTTCCAAAGAAACTTGCTATATATATATGTATGTATGTATGATATGTCGATGCCTTTTTCTTATGTAAAGAAGACCGATGAAACAAAGAAGGTCTAGTTATCATTTTGCACAAATCTTAATAACCTTAGGTTCATCAAAACCCCCCCATTCACTCAATCCACCGCCACTTGTGGAAGCCACCATCACCACCACTCGTCCAAACCACCATTACCGACACCAACACCATCCTTAGCTCTCTCTCTCTCTCTCTCTCTCTCTCTCTCTCTCTCCCAACAAATACTTCTTCTTTCTTTCTTTCTTTCTTATTTTTTTCCATGGACGTCAGTTTTACAAGAGTTTTGAATTTCGCACTATTGCTTGAATTTTCAAAATCAAGGTATTTGTAATTGATTTTCTATTTTACATAATAAAGAGAGTGATTTTTCAATTTCCATTTAATTTATTTAAGGTAATGGTCCTTTTCACTTTTCTCTAACATTAAAAGAAGGGCACGCTTGATAACCAAAATATAACATAAAAATTTCACCCAATTCCCATTGTATTTTACATTGAAATATCATATTCAACTAAGATCTTTCTCTCATTCTCTTCTCCTATATATGGAAACGAAATAATCAATAAAAAAAATTTCCTGTAAAAAAAAAAGGAATGTGTAGTTCAGTTGGCCTTGAATATGTGTAATTCCGCTATCATTTTCCAAGTTATTGTATTTTAAATTTATCTAAACTGAGAAATTGTTAAATTAAAATGACCCCATTTAAAAATGATTTAACCAAAAATAAGTGAATTATTTATATTCTCCCGATCTCTTGTCATTCCTTTTGTTTTATTGGAAGTCAAAACTAAAGCTCTTCCACTTTCTAGGACAATTAATGAAAACGTCTGACCATCAATTAATTTGTTATTATTTCAAGAATTTTCGAAAAAAAATTTCTTTGGATTTTTTGTTATTAAAATAGTTAAATTATATAGTTTTAGGGGAAATACCAAGTCTGGGGGGCCAACAATCGTCCGACTTGCACATCAATTACTAATTTTTTCTGCCAAATGATAAATTAATAAATTAAAAGGTTAATACCATGAAAAATACCAAACTTGTACATTTATGATAAATTTACCATAAATTAATTTTTATACCACCAAAAACCCCAAACTGGTACATTTGTGACAAATCTACCATCCGTTAGTTTCCTTCAAATTGGACTAATATCACGAAAAATTATAAACTGGTACACATGTGACTTACAGAGGGTAAATCCCAAACCGGTACACCCGTTAACTGTCATGTGTCATCCAACTCAGCAATTTGACGGTAAAATTCTAACGGAAACTAACTGAGGGTAAATTTGTCATAAGTGTATCGGTTTGAATTTTTGGTGATCAAAAAATTTAATTTGGAGTAAATTTATCATAAATATACCAGTTTTGGATTTGTCGTGATATTAACCCTGAATTAAAATACACCTTCAGTCAGTCTACGATGGAAGGAAGGCGTGGAGGCTTGAGAAGAGAGGCGCTTGGAGATGTCAATCGCGGTCGTTGGTGGAGTTGCTGGCGAACGGCCAAGATATTGTCAGATCGATCCTTCTCAAAACTTAGATGTCAATACATTGTAGAAATCATGACTGGTCTATTTTTTTACATTAAAATTTGTATTATGTTACACAAATTACGCGAAAATAGAAAAATCACTATGTTTTAAGGACTATAATCGTTATATCGATAAAAAAAATTGAATATCAATGCCTTTCTTTAAAAAATTTAGTGATATGAAATTCGAAAATTCTTCTTAAACCTACGTCCATGAAAAAGTTAGGGTTAATACTACGAAAAACTCCAAACTGATACACTTGTAACAAATTTACCTCAAAGTAATTTTTTGACCACCAAAAACTTCAAACTTGTACATCTGTGACAAATTTACCCTCCGTTAGTTTTCACTAAATTTTACCATCAAATTGCCGAGTTGGATAATATGTGACAGTTGACGGGTGTACAGTTTGGTGTTTTACCATCTGTTTGTCACAAGTGTACTAGTTTGTAATTTTTCGTGATATTAATCTAATTTAACGGAAACTAAAGGAGGGTATATTTGTCACAAATGTATCAATTTGGAGTTTTTGGTGGTCAAAATATTAGTTAGGGTAAATTTGTCACAGATATACCAGTTTGGGGATTTTGGTGGTAAAAAAATTAGTTTGGGATAAATTTGTCATAAATATACAAGTTTGAGGTTTTTTGTGGTCTTAACCAAAAAAGAAAATACGTTTAAACATAAACAGAAAGTTGAAAACCATCTACCTACAAGCTCTACCTCTTTTTACTAATTATGATTAATTTTTGTTGCATGAACATATATGTGGATGTGATTCCCATTCGTCGCCATCTCTTCATTTGAAATTAAAAATATTTCCCATTTTTTTTAACTTTTTATTTCAAAAGGTTTTTCCTTGGGAAATTGAAGATATGAGCCAATTCAGTGCAATCTAATCTAGTTTTGTATTTCGTTTACATGAGATTTTGTCGGACCACTGTTAACTATTCTAAAAATTTAAGCTGTTAGATGAATGGGTTATTTAATATTTAATTACTCTAACAGTTTATGTGCAATAAATAAAAAGCACACCTAAAAAATAAACACCCTTTCAATTCCACTACATACAGACCAAAAAAAAAATTCCGCTACATTATACTTCGCCATAACTCTCTCTCTCACCCTAATCTATAAAAAAACAAAACCCAAAGAATCTGTCAATTAGGGCGCGTTTGGTAACGCTTCTGTTTCTCTATTTTTCTGTTCTTCTGTTCCTTGGAACAAAAAAAGAACAGAAATCCGTTTGGTAACGCATTTTATTTTTCTATTTCCTGGAATAGAAAAGTGGCCAAAAAATAGATTTGGAACATAAATAAGAAGTAGAAAAAATCTACTTCTTTGTTCTTAGAAATAGAAATAGAAATAGAAAGGTCCGGTCCTCAAGCTGCGACCTCAGCTCCTCCTCCATCCTCCGTCGTCTGCAAACCGTCTCAAAGCACCGGTCCGGTCCATTCTCGGCGGAAATAATAAAAAAATTATAAAAAAAATTAATTAAATTATAAAAAATTCCAAAAATTCAAAAAAAATCAGAAAAATTCTCAGAAAATCCATAAAAATCAGAAAAACTCAGAAAATCCATAAAAATTTGCAAAATTCCAAAATTGAAAAAATTAAAAAAAATTCATAAAAAGCTTTCTGGAAAATAAAAAGAGACAAATTTCGGGAAAGTAAAAAGTTTTAATAAACTTTTCCCCAAAAAAAAAATAAAAAATTCACATAATGGCTTAGAATAAATTAAAAAATTCCGAAAATTCATAAAAATTAGAAAAATTTCAGAAAAATCCCATAAAAAATTAGAAAATTAAAAAATTCCCAAAATTCATATAAATCAGAAAAATTCTCATAAAATCCATAAAAATCAGAAAAACTCAGAAAATCCTTAAATATTTGCAAAATTCCGAAATTGAAAAAATTAAAAAAATTTCATAAAAAATTTTCGGAAAAATAAAAAGAAACAGATTTAGGGAAAGTAAAAAATTTTAATAAATTTTACCCCAAAAAATATAAAAAAATTCACATAATGGCTTAGAATACCTGCGGCCACCCACTTTGAGTGAAATTTAAATTTTTGAGGTGCCCAAGTGGTATTTTTGAAGATTCCTTAGTTGAGGGATTAAAAGGGGTTTTAAACCCCTAAAAAGGATTAGACAAACCAATAAATCATGCTTATTGATTTTTTTCACTTATAACTTGTACTTATAGTTAAATAAAAGATATAGATTTGAATGCAAAAAATTGGGAATAGAAATTTTGTGCAGTTACCAAACGCATTTATGTTCTTTTTCTATTCCAGGAATAGAAATTTTGTGCAGTTACCAAACACATTTCTGTTCTAGAAATAGAAATTTTGTGCAGTTACCAAACGCATTATTTTGCTCAGAAACTCTTCCAGGAAATAGAAATAGAAAAAACTATTTCTGAAAAGAAATTGTTCTCAGAAATAGAAACGTTACCATACGCACCCTTAGTATACCCATAGACTGTTGTCTTTTAGATAGGCTACTCTTCCAAGATGACATAATCGTATTGATGGATCATCAAGAGAAGATTCT